TATATATATATAATATATATATATATATATATATACATATATATACGTATATATATAATCATACATGTATATATTTACATGTATATATACATACACGTGTGTATATATATATATATATATATATTATATATATATATATATATATATATATGTATATGTATATATATATATTATATATTATATATATATTATATATATATATATATATATATATATATATATGTATATATATATATATATATTATATATATATATATATACTATATATATATATAATATATATATATATATGTATATATATATATATATAATATATATATATATATATACATATATATATATATATATATGTATTATTGTGTGTGTGTGTGTGTGTGTGTGTGTGTGTGTGTGTGTGTGTGTGTGTGTGTGTGTGTGTGTGTGTGTGTGTGTGTGTGTGTGTGTGTGTGTGTGTGTGTGTGTGTGTGTGTGTGTGTGTGTGTGTGTGTGTGTATGAATATATATAAATGTATATATTATATATATATATATATATATATATATATATATATATTATATATATTATATATATGTGTGTGTGTGTGTGTGTGTGTGTGTTGTGTGTGTGTGTGTGTGTGTGTGTTGTGTGTGTGTGTGTGTGCGTATGTATATATGATGTATATATATATATATATATATATATATATATATATATATATTATATATATATATATATATATTATATGTATATAACATATATATGCGTATGTGTATGTGTGTGTATGGTTGTGTGTGTATATATATATATATATATATATATATATATATATATATATATATATATATATTATATATATTAATATATATATATATATATATATATATATATATATATATATATATATAGTATATATATATATATATAGTATATATATATATATATATATATATATATATATATATATACGAATTACACAAACACATACATACATACAAACGCACATATATTCTGAGGCAAATAGAACGGCTGGCAATTTGTGATATGAATATTTTTATGCCAGTGAACACAGAATTAGTTAACATGCTGACAATCAAAAACACGAGTAATGCTAAAATGACACGTAATTCATGTGTATATATAATTTTATTGGCAAGCGAAACAATTCGGAAATTGACTGTTGACAAAATCACTGATAACTATTTTTCATTATATATCAATTAACAGTTGTCAGTTCTGTTCGTTTGTAAATGCTTAGTAGGGAATCGAAAATGTGGTTATGCTAATGATGATGGGGAGAAATGTGATGATAATGGTGGTGATGATAACGATAGTGATGATAGTGGAGATGAAGATAATGATTTGAGAATAATAATAATGATAATTAATTTAATTTAATTCCATTTGTTACGACGGTTAATCTTGGTGCGACAGGCTGTTTGTTTGAATTTAGAGTATTATGGGAAATGACGCTTAACACCAAAAGAGAAGAAACTGACCTTGCCATCCGATAGAACGTAATATTCTAAGACCCTTTTCTTCTAATTTCCGCAAATAATGTGGTAGAGATGATGTGAAACTCAGAAATTCCAAGCGCTCCACAACACGTACTCTTTCAGTGGCGGGAAAAAATGGCGCGAAATCGAGGAGCGACGAAATAATCGGACGAAATTGTAGCGGATGACGTAATAGAGGAGAATTAAATGAGCCAATGGGAATCACACTCGGCCGTGACGTCACAATAGACACTGGCGACCTCTCTACTAGAACCAACAAGATTTGTAATAGATAAACACGTGACGATAGAAGCTGGACCAGAGGGAAAGTCCGTTGAAATTCAAATCAGTTCCGTCATGGAGAGGCTGTGTATAAGGTGCTGTTTCGCCTTTAATATGCAAATTATCATGGTAATAACGGAAACGAGAGGCGGATAGTGGTCACAATTCCCGCCAAAACCGACGACGAGGATTTGGGTGACCCGCAGGATGGCCATTGTGAATTTATGAAAGGTAAGAAATTATCGGTGCGATATTTACCCGGCCTCTACCTTGCCGGAACATACGAGGTGGAGATTTTGCAGATCAAGTGGGATGGGGGGGGGGGTGGGGGGGGGCTTTGCAATAACAAATTTACTAAAAGATTTACTTCGATCATTTGTTTTTATCCCGGAATTTCCCTGATACTTAGCATGCCCTCCCCAGGCGCCGGGGTCGATATTATGGCTGCGCTTCATTTACGAAGGGACTGAGTGATAGATGCGTTGGAAACACGAGAGCTTAAAAAAAAAAAACAGCATAATTTTCACCGGAAATCGGTGTCAGGTGATGTTTCCAAATTTACCAAATAGAGTATTGATTCTTTACAAAACCTTTTCATAATTATAGGCAGATTCGGACCACCAGTTACCAAATAAAACCTACCTGCCATCAGTCATCAGCAATATATGTATATATATATATAATATGTGTATTATGTGTATGTGTGTGTGTGTGTGTGTGTGTGTGTGTGTGTGTGTATGTGTGTGTGTGTGTATATGTGTGTGTGTGTGTGTGTGTGTGTGTGTGTGTGATGATGAAATGAAAAAGTGACGTTTCGAGAGTTTCAAAAGTTCTTTATCAGACGGACAAATAAACCGGTTATAGAGTGGCGTAGAAAGGACATTTGACAGGATAGGCGAGATCCATAGATTTTCCGATAAAACAATTAGATTAGTTCCATCGATCAGCTGAGTAAACGCCCATCCTCACTGACTGGCAATAGAGTGGCAACGCTGCACTGATCCGAAACAGCACTTTTATGTAAACAAATTTGTCATATTTTTTCATATTGAATTGACCTCAGAAAGCGAAGAGTTAACATAAACTGATATTACTAGGACGGAAACAATGAATTGAAAGATATTTCATTTAAATATGATAAAATGAACAAGTGCATCACAAGAAAGCAGATTGCCGTCACATTGTTTTCCGAGAGGGATTGAAAATTTCCGACAAAGCTGACTCTATTTCAGAGGGGGACAACCGCCCCCTTTCTATATACGCCACTGCGGTTATATAAATATGATATCTACACACACACACACACACACACACACATATATATATGTATATAGATCGACAGATAGAGACAGAGACAGTGTGTGTGAGAGAGACACAGACAGACAGAGAGAAAGAAAGACAGAAATAGACAGACAGACAAATAGAAAGAGAGACAGACAGACAAATAAAAAGACACAGAGAGAAAGAAAGACAGACAGAGAGAGACAAACAGACTGATACACAGACAGACAGATTAATCATAAAAAATAGCATTATAGATATACATGCATGTAAATACGTACATATGAACGTATGTAGTTAAGTATACTGCGAGAGAGGAAAGGCGAAAGAAGGCTGAAGAGCGGTACACAGACAGACAGAGAGAAAGAAAGACAGCCAGAGAGAGGGAGACAGACAAATAGAAAGAAAGAACGAAAGACAGAGATAGACAAAGACAGACTGGACAGACAGACAGAAAGAAAGAACGAAAGACAGAGAGAGACAAACAGAATGGTACACAGACAGACAGATTAATCATAAAAAAGTAATAGCATTATAGATATACATACATACGTACATATGAGCGCATGTAGGCAAGTGCACAGCGAGCGAGCAAGGCGAAGGAGCGAAGGAGCTGAGGAGCGGAGGAGCAGCCGTTGAATAAAACATGGCCGCCGGCGAGGGAGCGAACGGGGACCCATCGCCAAGCTTTTGAAAGAATTGCATTTGGAAGCGAAGGAGTTTTGCGGAGTTTTACGCACTTGTCAACAGCTGAGGTGAACGTGTTAATGAAATTGGAAGGACGATTAATTTTCAAGCGAGACGCGGCGACGGAGTTCGCTTCGGGTCACGAGGCGGTAATGTGCCGCGAGACGCCGCCTCGGAATTGGAGGGTACGTGTGTGTGTCCGTGTGTGTGTGTGGCCGTGTCGTGTGTGTGTGTGTGTGTGGTGTGTGTGTGTCGTGTGGTGTGTGTCCGTGTGTGTGTGTGTGTGTGTGTGTGTGCGTGTGTGGTGTGTGTGTGTCCATGTCCGTGTGTGTGTGTGTGTGTCCGTGTGTGTGTGTGTGTGTCATCCGTGTGTGTGTGTGTGTGTCGTGTGTGTGTGTGTGTGTGTGTGTGTCCGTGTGTGTGTGTGTGTGTCCGTCCGTGTGTCTGTGTGTCCGTGTGTGTGTGTTTCTTTGTGGATATTGTGTAGATATGAATGTGAATCCTTAGAAAAAGACGAAATATGCAAACACACACAATGTGATGTCAACTGTGTATTATCTAAAACCCATGTATAACTCATTCACCGGTGATTTACGTATGCTACAAGCACACTTACCATTATATTTCATATCTGTGTTATTGGCATACGTCAGCCAAGTTACATTAGTCAGATGGGTTGCCTTAGTATTATAGAAAGTCGATCTGGCAACCTCACCGCCCAGCGCGTGAGTACATGAGGCTTCAGAGACGAGAGCGGACTGACGGCACGCATGCTCAAGGATATATGAGTATAAGTATAGACCTTTTGCTTGCTGACCTCCTGTTCGCTGCGCCTTCGAGCCCAATACACCTCGTGCGCATATGCTGGGTTTTCTTAATCTACTATACTTCATCTCAAGACACAGTGAAACGTAACAGATATTAAATTAATATATTTAGTGTGAACAGAAAAATCATATTGTTTTACATTCCTCTACTTTATTCACATCTATTCATCATATGGAAGTATACTAACAGCTTCACAAGTTTGCTCTGCTTTGTGAAAACATACATAAATACATAAATATATTTATATGTGTGTGTGTGTGTGTACATATGGATAGACAGATACAATATACATTCAAATGCCCGCAATAACACAGATATACCAGCCACACAAAGCCGCCAGACAATAGATTCAAATTACCTGAGTTCCCCCACAGACGCTCTTACACTTTCCGTAGAATTTGACTGAATACGAATTTTTTTACGATTTTTGAAAATATGTGGATTACAGAATGAGGGTAATGATGTTGGGGGTGATGGTGATTAAAAAGATAATTTTAGTAATAATGATAGCTATAGTAATGATAATGATAATGATATTAATGATGATACAACTCATACTATTTCTACTACTACTAATGGTAATAGTGAAAGTGATTATGATGCTAACAGGGACAAATTTTGATATTAGCAGTATTATTAATGATAGTAAGGATGATAATGGTGACGATTATGATAATGATAATGGCAATAATGATGATAGTAATAGTAATGATAATAATTATAATAATATGATGATGGTAAATAATAATAATAATAATAATAATAGCAACAACAACAGTAACAAACATCTATAACCTTACCTCGTAACAAAGAAACTTAACAACTGTACAGATTTTCCATGATTTCTACATCGCAAGGAAAGAGACCCCCAGCCAGTGTGTCTCGTGTGCTTGTCCAGC